TTAGGTTTTTGACTTGTTCTTTGGGAAGATTTCAGCTTTAATCATATCGCATGTATATGTCTGTCAACAGTTCTAGTTGTTTGGAGACCCAGAGGGAAGCTGCTTTACTCATAGGTCAATTTGCTGCTGCTGATTCAGATTGCAAGGTTGGTCGAGATATTAATTCTAATTAGGCACACAAATTTTGTTAACTGCTCAAGCATATGAATTACTATAATATTGTTGTGTTTATGTAAATATATCTTTCTGTTAAGAAGTTGGAATTCTACAGGTACACATTGTCCAAAGAGGCGCTGTTCCCCCCTTTAATAGAAATGCTTACATCTTCAGATGTGCAACTCAAGGAAATGTCTGCATTTGCACTTGGACGGTTGGCCCAGGTTTGTATTTATTTGCTGTCTGTCAGGGTTAAAATTGTCTGGATGATATTTGAAACAACAGTCTCATGTCAGTGACAGGACTTAAGGAAGTTAATCAGTTGTCCAATCATATGTTTTTTATGCTGAAGTTCTAGTTTTAATTTCTTTCCTAGATGCTTAATGTTTTTTTGGAGTTGTGCTTTATCAATTAATGTTTTTTTATTTTGCAGGACACACACAATCAAGCTGGAATTGTGCAAAATGGTGGAATCACGCCATTACTAAATCTTCTTGAATCAAAAAGTGGACCATTGCAACATAATTCTGCATTTTCCCTATATGGCCTTGCTGATAATGAGGTAGAGGGCATTTTTCACTGTATTATTTTAAACTTGAACTGCAGTTTTTACACAGCGAGTCTAGAGGTGCTTACAACTATTCTATTCTTTAGGATAATGTTGTAGATCTTATCAGGACTGGAGTTGTTCAGAAACTTCTGGAAGGAGAGTTCATTTTTCAGGTATCCTTTAGGATTCTACTTTTACCATGCTGCTGTTTGAAATTAATTTATTTAATTCATTTTGCTTACCCTTAGAATTTATAGTTAGAAGACTTGTGTATTTTCCCAGTTTGATATTCATTAATATACCTTGTAAGTTGTAATACTGCAGCCAACTAAAGATTGTGTAGCAAAGACATTGAAGAGATTGGAGGAAAAAATTCATGGACGAGTGAGTTTATTTTTGCTAGTTTTTGGCTCTTTTCTACTTTGCATATTTAAAAGTCATGAGACTGTATATACATTATATCTTGTGACATTGTTCTTTGATCCTCTTAACAGACATTGAATCATCTGCTGTACCTTATGCGGATAGCAGCCAATCCTGTTCAAAAACGAGTCGCTCTGGCTCTTGCTCATCTTTGTTCTCCAAATGACCGGAAACCTATTTTTGTTGACAACAATGGTAAGACAATTTTCTATTCCAACTGTTGTTAGCACTTCTCTTCATTCACAATGATATCCTTTAGCTGTTTCTATTTTTGGTTTACATTTCCTCATTGCTTCTCCCTTGGTGCTCAACAATTCCCTCCAGGACTGGAGCTGCTTCTGGGCCTTCTTGAGTCTAAGAGTTTTAAGCAGCAACAAGCTGGTTCAGAGGCCATGTATAAGTTGGCAACAAAGGGTACTTCACTCTCATCTGTGGATGCTGCCCCGCTATCACCAACCCCTCAGGTTTGTTCATGTTTCCTGATCTTTGGTGAGAAGATTATTGCATTTGATTGAAAATCTTTTAGTAACAAAGAAATTATGGATGTCCATGCATATTGTACCAATTGTTTTTTCCTTGGTAGCATGAACTAATCACTGGCAGTACGTGACTAGTTTTAATTTTGAAGTCGATATCTGGCTGAACTTGTAGTTAGCCACGATCAGTTTTATGTTCTTTATGCAATTGAAATCTAGCAGTCTGTCTTTTGTTGCCTTGGTGGTAACTGGTAAATAGAATGCATTAAAAAATTTCCCCTTTGTGTCAGACTAACAGCTGTTTCTTTTTCCCCCATTTCCCCCACAATAAATGCAGGTGTATTTGGGTGAGCAGTATGTAAATAATCCTACACTTTCTGATGTTACATTTTTGGTTGAAGGTATGGATTTTTTTCTTATCAGTGATTGTGCTTGCTCTTTATTAAGTCTATTTCATTTTAAGTTGAAAAGTTCTTCAGCCTTTCAATTTCCATATTCTTCTCTCAGGTAAAAGATTCTATGCTCACAGAATCTGCCTTCTTGCTTCTTCGGATGCATTCCGTGCCATGTTTGATGGTGGTTACCGGGTAAGACGATTCGAGGATATTGTTCCCATCATCTTCACCCCCCCCTCTTCTGCTACTTTGCCATCCCTTGGACACTATCTCGATATCAAGGAGCACATTGCTAGATAATATAATAAAAGGATGACCGACATGAAAATTGTTTTGCAGGAGAGGGATGCCAAAGATGTTGAGATTCCAAATATCAGATGGGATGTTTTTGTGCTAATGATGAGGTAGATATTTGAATGCTCACTTGTAAATATAGTAAAAATTTGTTGGTGGAAAGTCCTCACTCGTTTGCTGTTCTGGTAATATGCTGCCAGGTATATATACACAGGATCAGTGACCGTTGAAATCGATCTTGCTCAAGAACTTCTTCGAGCTGCCGATCAGTATCTTCTCGATGATCTTAAACGCCTTTGTGAATACACCATTGCTCAGGTGTGTACGTTTTACTGTGATATTTCTTCTACTCACATTACAGATTTACCTGCTTTTATCTGTTCTAATTATCCGTTTTTTAAAGGATATTTCTGTGGAGAATGTTACGCTGATGTTTGAACTAGCCGGGGCCTTCAATGCTACCACACTACGTGAAGCTTGCTTACTCTTCATGTTAGAGCAATTCGAAAGAATAAGTGCCAAACCCTGGTATGTAGTATCCCAAAACTGTATTTTGATTGCCGAGAAGTCGATGTTTCTAAGCCGTTTGATGCTGTGAACATGCAGGCGTAGCCGTTTGATTCATCGCATCATTCCAGATTTACGGGATTTCTTCATAAGTTCACTTGCAAAGTGTCATGACCCTAGGAGTGAGCACATGTGAACTTTTAACAGTTACCTCGCCGTCAATTAGGTTACACCATCAATTTGTGAGGTCTTTTCTTGTGGATAAAACTGGTAGACTCGGTATTGTATGTGTATGTATAGATAGGAATTGGTAGAACAATGGGAAGTCTTTGATCTGAATGCAGCTGAGAATTTGGGGTTTGGATGTTTATTAATCTTAGGATAAAGTATACAAATGGTTATTTTATTATATAGTATTGTTTTATTAAGTTTTTTTGACTATTAAAAGTTATAAAATAGTCTTTTAACTATTAAGTTTTGCTTTGTTGAGTCCTATTATTAAAAGTTGCAAAATAATCACTTGATTATTTATTATATTTTAAATTTGTTAATTTTTGTTAAAAAATTAATAATCGTTTAAGTTAGATGTTAACATGATGATTGAGATATAATAGTTGTTTGATATTTTATGATCATATTTTATAATATCATGGTTAACAGATTAATGTTTAACTTAGAATATCGTTAATTTTTTAATAGAAAAAGACAAATTTGAAAATAAATAGTTAGATGATTATTTTATAATTTTTAATAGTCAAATGACTCAATAAAATATTATTTTATAATTTTTAATAATCGAGAGAATTAATAAAGACTCAACCTTTTCCATTCGAAACATACTACCGCAACTACCCCGATTTTTGATGATAAAGACGGCAAAGGTGAAGAACAAGAAGAGGTAGCCGAAGAAGATAAAGTTGTTAATGAAGAAAATGGTGCTGTGCAATATGAAGTTAAAGAAGAAAACTGTCATTGGGGAGATGAGGGTATGAATGTAAAGGTTGAGAATATTGGGGGTAAAATTGGAATGGGAAGCTGGCGAGGCCAAGCAGTTGCAAAGAAAGACCGCGTAGGCACAAAGGATTCCTTCTTACTCGGGAGCCATACTTGGTGGCAGCTTAGAGCGTGCGTGTTTTAAATAACTAATTTAAATTTAATATAATGTTATCGATTATTTAAATTATAAATATATATTATCTTATAACCATTTCCTTTAAAGTTTAAACAACTAAACGGACCAACAATAATAGAGTACAACCATCAATAGTAGAGTTGGATGGTCCAAGCAAGCACATTCAGTCAAGGGGTTACTCGAATTTAATGTTTCATCGTTTTCATCGGTGTTACATTCTTATACTGTAATAAAAAAAATTATGAAGAGTTGTTGTCTCTATGAGTGTCTTTCCGCGTAATTAGTTGTAAAGTCATTGTACCATCTTCAATAACACTAGCTACACTTTATTCTAAACGGTGGACTTTTGAACATGTATCATTTTTCACCCGGACAATCTAATACAAATGGCGGATATAGCTGGTTCTTAGGATAGACACGTGTCCACCCTAAAATTTTATTTGTGCTCATTAGATACAAAATATTATTAATATGTGTGTTTACTCTAAAAAATATTTTTGGATCTACCATTGATCTAATAAATGATGATTGACATCTATTTTGTAACCAAAAGAATGTAATCATTTTAAATCTAAATTGAATTAGATGATAAATCAAGAATAAAATTTTTAAATCAAATTTAGATTGATTAAATATCTGACTTAATTATATTCATACTCATAATTTTTTTTAATTAAGTTGGGGTAAATACTAAATAATATATTTTCAAAGAATATTTTCAATAATTTAACATTGAATACTCACATTCACGATATTCATGACAATCACGATGCTCGAACTTAAAACCTTAATAAATAACAATAATTTCTTTTATCATCGAAGATATTAGTTTCGGTCCATACTTGTAATTAAAGCAATACCAAACCCAAATTATTTTCAGACATTGGGCATTCTTGAGTTAGCTAGGCCTTTCAAAGCCCAAGAATATTAACTTGAACCCCTGACCTTTCTGGATAGAGCCACAGGCAGGTTTACGTGCAACAAAGCGGTGCCGTTTGGTCTGGCTTCCCTAATTTCTTCTCCCCCAAGAGCTAAAACCCTGATCAATTAAGGTTTCAATGACACAGTTTGACACAGTTTGACACAATGTTGATGCGCTACGTTCGCCCGTCTCTCATTGCGTCGCGTTTTTTCTCGGCCGCGGCGAAAAAAGCAGTACCAATCGACAAGGCCGCTCCGGAAAGCGGCGGTGACGGTGGAGGTCGCCGAAAAACTGTGAACCGGAGGTTTTTTGACCTCGTGTATTCGAAACGCAGCTCAGCGGTTACAGTACAGAAATGGAAAGAGGAAGGCAGTACGATCAGTAAGTTCGAGCTCAGTAGAGTCGTTCGAGAGCTTCGCAAGCTCAAGCGCTATAAGCACGCCCTTGAGGTATATGCTTACGTTGTTTACTTTATGAAGCTTATCGCTCTTGAACTTTGAACTAAAACTTCAATTTCAGCTGAGAACTGTGCCTAATTGCTCATAGTTGATTTGAATAGACTGTTAAAAAGTACATGTTTCGTTAGTATCATTGCTACCGATGTGAGACGAGGAAGTATTTTTGCTAATTTTGTGTATTTAATTGTTGAACAGTTGATTTTCAAATTGGATTAGCTTCGAACAAGATCAAAATTATGACAAATTAAAAGTAAAAAGAACATTTTTATTTTTCATAAGGTGGAAGGATGAAAGTCATAATTAGATTGAATGGATATTATCTATTGAAAACTGGGATTTCGGAATCAATTAGCCTTGTGTCACCATGGTTGTCATTTTATTGCAGATATGTGAATGGATGAGATTGCAGCCAGATATCAAGCTTCTACCAGGTGACTATGCCATCCATTTGGACTTAATTGCAAAAGTTCTCGGTTTAGATAATGCAGAGAAATTCTTCGAAGATCTTCCCAACAAGATGAGAGATCAAGCCACATATACTGCTCTTCTCCACACGTATGTCCAGAACAAGTTATCTGCCAAAGCCAAAGCTTTATTGGAGAAGATGACGGAATGTGGCTTCGCAAAGTATCCACTCCCATACAACCACATGCTCTCTTTATACATCTCTGAAGGGAAACTAGAAAAGGTTCCTGAAATAGTGAATGAACTAAAGAAAAATGCTTCACCTGATATCTTTACTTATAATTTGTTGCTATCTGTTTGCGCCTCCCAAAATAACATTGAAGGTGCAGGGAAAATCTTTGTTGAGCTAAAGAAGGCGAAAATCGAGCCCGACTGGATAACATATAGTGCATTGACCAATCTGTATATCAGAGAAAAACTATTTGAGAAGGCAACGTCTACTTTGAAGGAAATGGAGAAGAAGGCATCACGGAGAAATCGAGTCGTTTATCCCTCTCTTCTCAGTTTGTATACCAACATGGGGGATAAAGACAAGGTTCAACGAATCTGGAAGAAGATGAAATCGTGCTTCCGCAAAATGAATGATGCGGAGTATACATGTATGATATCGTCGCTTGCGAAACTCGGGGAATTCGAAGAAGCTGAGAAGATCTATAATGAATGGGAGTCTGATTCGGGAAGTGGCGATCCTAGAGTTCCGAACACACTCCTCTCGGCTTACATCAATGGAAACCAGATCGAAATGGCTGAGAACTTTCATCGGCGAATGATACAGAAGGATATTTCCCCGTGTTACACGACTTGGGAACTTCTTTCTTGGGGTTATTTAAAGAAACAACATATGGGGAAGGTATTAGATTGTTTTAAGCAAGCTGTTGGGAGTGTGAAAAAATGGAATCCAAATGATAGATTGGTCGAGGAAGTGTTGAAGAAACTTGAAGAACTTGGTGATACTGAAGGGTTGGAGAAATTGTTGGTGATTCTTAGGAATGCTGGGCATGTGAGTACTGCGGTATATAATTCACTTCTTCGAGGATATGCAAAAGCTGGTAAAACGCCACTTGTGGTTGCTGAACGAATGCAGAAGGATAATGTGCCGATGGACGATGAAACACATGAACTCATCAAATTAACAAGCAGAATGGGAATCAATGAAGTTTTAGGCAGTTGTAGGGCAGATTAAGGAAAAAATGAAGATTATTTACTTTGCGAATTAGCTATTTTGTTGTGTTTTAGCGATTGTAATCATGATAACACAATGTGATCACATAGTATTTTAAATTTGATCGACGTGTTTTACATAGGTTTCATGCCAGATAAGCCTAAACATGATGGATGGAATACACATACTTTATGGATTCAATTAAAATATTCTGAAATTTTAAGAATGCACGAATCAAACATCTCATAAAGGAATTGTTATTATTCATTAAAGTTTCGAGGTCGATCATCAGGAATGCTAGGGATGTGAGTGAGCGTTTATTGTCAGATGATTGAGAGTTATTTTTGAATATATAATGTTTTGGATAACAAAAAGAAGTTTAAAGATTAATTTATAATATTTTATAGGGAAAATTATGATTTTAGTACATAAATTATCAATTTTAGTCTGTTTTAGTAGCTAATTTTTTTACTTTTTTGAAATCATACGTAAATTAGTTTTTGTTTCATTTTATTACAACTGTTTAAAATTTAATGATAAATTTTGAAAAAATTAAAGTTTAAGTACTAAAGTGATTCAAAACTGATAATTAAGTATTAAACGTATTAATTTTTTAACGATAGGGTAGTAAAATGAGATAAAAACTAATGTTAGGTATAATTTTTAAAAATTAGATACTAAAAAAATCAAAATTGATAATTTAAATACTAAATGTGTAGTTTACCTATTTTGTATTATTTTGGGAAATTAGACTAATTAATCCAATAGAAGTCAAAGAAAGTCAAAGATATATTTTTAGATTATAAAATAAGCAATGATACAGAAGTGCCCCATCTAGTAACTTAACAGTTTTCGATAGTCGAAGATACGGTCATTTTTGTCTTTCCTCCCACTTTCAGTGGACAATGGAAGCAATGCTTCTCGGCTTTCATCGCTTCAACCCTAGCCTCTTATCGTCAAAACCTCTTAAAATTCCAGGTTAGTCTTCCTCTGTTGGTTCTTTAGAAAAATCTAGAAGTTAAAGGAGTGAACATTAACAAAGAAGTGTTGAGCACCGTTTCGATTTTTGAGAGTTTCTGTCAGTTGGCTGTTTCGGTATATGTGGATGATTTTTAGGTGATTTTATTTACAGATTATTGATATTTGGGCTTTAGTTGGAAAAAACTTGGTTAACATGCTTTTGTATTCTGTTTAAGAAATGCGGTTTTGGTTAATAGGGGCTGTTTCTTCGTTGATTATGTTCTAACTAGGAATTTAGTAATTTGTTAGGTGGAAAATGCTTTGAACTCTAGGCTTCTAAATAGGTATTCTTTATGTTTGTTTTAATTATATTCCATTTTGGAATTTCATTTAGCTTGAGTATTTCCGCGGGGGGGGGGGGGGAATAGGTGATGTTTAAGTGAATAATAGCCACAATACAATTTTGGTGGAGACAGAGAGTTGTTAGGCATGCTCGGATATTTTATTTAAATTTTTCTATCTTTAAATTGGTTGTACTTCTCTGTAGCTGAAATGAGCTGCTGGGATAGATACAGTGTTAAGTTTGATGTGTTAATGGGAAAGATACTTGGTATGCAGATGGACATGTGGCTGGTGACCCACGGTTTTATCGTCCACTGCACACCAGATCCCACCGCGTGCTTAAGATGAAATTTGTAGACTCAAGTAGAAGCAATTTTGTGCTGCCAAATAGATTGTTCCATTCAAGAACAAGAAGTGAATGGTCGAGCAATTCTTCAGATCAGCTTCGAAGTGACTATGTCAATGTTGAATCATCATCTTCAGAGTCTCTAGATCTGGAACATGTTCGTTCAAGTTTGGATGATGGGGCTGATATTTCCAATTACAATGTTGTTAATAACATTGAGACTTCACGTGTTAGACCAAAATATTTTAGAAATAGGTTTCTAAACTTTGTACAGTTGAGTACTGTATTGAATAATGCGGCGGAATCATTCTTTAAGAGTGAGATTCGGCGGAGGTTATTTGTGACAGCTGTACTTCTTGTAATTAGTCGTGTTGGATATTTCATCCCTCTACCTGGTTTTGATAGAAGGCTGATACCTCAAGATTATCTTAGCTTTGTCTCTGGGTCTGTTGGTAAGTTCTGCAATCTAGAAGAAAAACTTGCACCCTTTTCCATTCCTTTTAAGCTATATGGAGTTTAATCTTCATTTGTAGTCAGTGTTGATTAATTTTTGTCTATAACAAATTTGTGGCCTTCTATTTTGCTTTTGGTAGATGATCTGGGTGATTTTTCTGCGGAGCTTAAACTGTCCGTTTTTCAGCTTGGTATCAGCCCTCAGATCATTGCATCCATAATTATGCAGGTTTGTAACTTTTCTTTGGTCATATAGGATTTGTTTTACATGATTGCGTAAACTTTTAAATTTCATATTTTTTTCTACACTTCATGCTATGAAATCTATTTGCCACCCTCATGTTATATGATTAAGTGGAGATAGATAGATAGATAGATGTTGAGGATGGTTGCTATGTTCTTTTAAGACGGAATGGTTGTACAAATGGTCAAAAGTTATTTCCTGTATTAAAAAGCTCATATGATGTGTCTAGTTATTCTTCTTTGGCCAATGTTCTAGAGTTTAATGGTCCATTAGGGTTCTGGAGTTGCTTTCTTTTAGTTGGAATAAAATTACTACCTTGTTATTGGATAAATGTACGGGACTAGGAATCACTTCATATTTTGTGGTGTGGTCTTCTGTAGTGTATTTAGGAGTGGTTGTAAACTTTTCTTGTTCGTTTAGTCCTGGCAACCAGTGTCTAGGATCTTTGTAGACATCTTTGTTAACTTATATTAAAAAAAGAAAGAAAGAAGACGTGTATACCTTTTCTTGCCAAGGGAAAGATACTCCATTGAATCTTGCTTTTGGCCTAAATTTCTTTTGTTTTATGAATTATTTTATTTTTGATGCATTCTCATGTGTGTGTTCTCTTGAATTGATTGAAAACAGGTATTTTGTCATATTGTTCCATCCTTAGTGAAGTTGCGGAAGGAGGGATTGGATGGTCACGAGAAGATTAAGAGTTATATGTGTGTCTATTTTTTCCTCTCAAGCAGTGAGACGAGTCCTTGCTACATGTATAATTCTTGAAAATGTTACTTGGACGTTTACAAAGCATGCTATTATTCTTTCATTGCAGATGGTGGATTTCACTTGGCTTTGCAATACTAGAAGCTATTATAGTTGCTTGCTATTCTCTTCCTTATTCAATTTATGCAGCCAGTTACAGGTACTTTAGCAATATAAACATGAAAGCAACAATTTCTGATGCTTTTGTTTCTCACAAGAAATTGGCAGGATATGACGCATATTCATATGGTTTTTGCAGGGTTAAGCATGTGATGGTGACTGCTTTACTTTTGGTTTGTGGTGCAGTGACTGTGACATGGATCTGTGATACGATATCAGAATCCGGATTTGGTATCATTCTTATTACATTTACTCCTTATTTATTTCAATTGTTACAGACAAGTTTTTAATTTAATAAGAACAACCGAGTAACTGAACGAATAAATGTAAAGCTAGTGGTTATTTTCTCTAGAATCTATAATGAGGAAAACTCTGGAAATAGAGCTTTAAGCAAAAGAGTTTATTCGATGTGCAGAGACCTTATGTTGGATTGGAGGAAATAATAGGAAATAGTGATATTCTTCTCATATGTTCACCTTGAGACGAGAAATATGCTTTTATCCAAGATTATAGAAGTTATAGAAATTCATTAAAAGTTTCAGCCTTTCACCTTGTCCAAAGTCCATTAATGGTCATATAAAATTGGTGTGCTTTTTAAAGATCCTGTTTTCTTACATTTTGAAAGTGATGAAGCTGCACATTACTGCGATGTTTTTTTTATAGAAATTACTGCGATGTTTTGAGTATTGTGGTCTTCTTAATTCACTGCTTGTGTGTTTCAGGTCAAGGTTCGTCTCTAATTATATGTGTTGGAATATTAACTGGATACACAGATACGCTGTACAAGATGTTGACTCAACTCTCAGGTATGCCATATGTGCTGACTAAGGTCGTCTTCTTAAGTTGGGTGGAGCTTTTGTCAGAATTATAACTTTTTAGTTCAAAAACTGTCACGTTTTAAAAGTAAAAAAATGATTTCATGATTTCTGTTTTCCAGGCAAAAATTCTTATTAGTAATAAGTAAAAATATCCTAAGCGGTTATTAATTAACAAATTAAGTTTGACTAGGTAGGCAGCCTGAAGTTGTGGTACCAAAATTTGATTTCATTGTAAAGAGTACATTCTGTAGCTATTTCAATGAAATAATTCAGTATGTGGGTCATAGGAAGTGAGGAAATGGTTGAAAATTGTATCTGTACACTAGTCCTTTAGTGATTATTTGCTCAACTGCAACGACCTTGGTTTTCTGTAGATGTGGACATCAACTATACTCGTCTTCTGCATTTTTTTCAGTCTGCATCATTATTGGTTTCTTGCATCCACAGGCAGTGCCGTGAGTTGGTGGCCATACATGCTTGCTGTATTAGGTGTTTTTACTGTAGTCACCATGTGGGCAGTTGTTGTAACTGAGGGTTGCAGGAAAATAAAGCTGCAGTACTATGGGTTTAAACTAGCATCTGCTGCAAGGTAAAGTCAGTGCTACTTACTTAGACAGTAGATGCATTTGGTGGAGAGACATAGGCTTTGGTTTCAATTCTTCTTTGTGCAGCATGGATAGTACAGTTCATGGCTAATCCGAGCAGGGAGCAGTAACTAATTTTATGTGAACTAGGACTACTGTTGAATTCAATTAAGGAGATTTGTAACTTTCAGTGTTTGTTTATTAACTTATAATAATGGTTATATGTTCTTTCTCAATGTCGTATTTTCTTTGTTTTATGTGTTGGACAGGGAAGATTCCCCAATCACTGAAGTAGAACCCTATATTCCTTTTAATATTAATCCATCAGGAATGCAGCCTGTTCTCACTACCACTTATCTATTGGCTTTTCCAAGTATTGTTGCAAGGTAATTGTGCCCTGAAGTGATTTAAAAACTTATTTTGAATCCTTTGTTCTATTCGCATTTTTGGGGCAATATTCTTTTGATGCATTACATATCTTGGGTTTGTTGTTTGTCTTATCCTA